ACAGCCAGGTAATGGACCACCAGGGTATAACCACCCCCCGCAGGGGAGCCGGGTCCAGCCAGGAAAACATCTGCCCCTCAGCCCACTCCAACCTGCTGGGAGTCAGAGGATGGCAGGTAGCTCCCAAACCCTCACCTCGGGAGAGGCAGTGCCCCACCAGTCTCTCTCACAAGCCGTCACCCCAATAGTATTCAGCACCTAGAATAGTGCCTGGTCCATAGGACGCCCCCAGGAACTGTTGGATGAATGGGTGAGCAAGTGGTGGGTAGATGAACAGAGGTGGATAGGGGAGAGGGGAGGAGGGAAGGCGTGGAGTGCGGTGAGAGTTGGGTATATGGGCAGGTTTATATGTGGGTTGGTCGGTGGGAAAGAAAAGGGCGAATGGGTGTGGGGCTGAAAGGGTAAATGGGCGGTCAGTGGGTAAATGAGAGGAAGAATGGGTAAGTAGGCAGATGAATAAGTGGGGATTGTTAGATGGGAGAAGGGGTGGGAGAGCAGGGAGGACAGGGATAGGTGGATTGACTGGTGGCTGGTAGATGGGTAAGTGGGAGTACAGGTGAGTGGGAGTCGGGGTGGGGGTGGGTAGATGATAGGTAGGTAGATGGGTAGGTGAGTAGGTAGTGGGTGCAGGTGGATGGCTGGTGAGTAGGGGGTGGATGGATACGATGGAAGGACGAGCTTTAACGTCAGACAGACCAGAGCTTACATTTGCCTCAGCCCCTTGGGCATGTCGAACCCTCTGAGCTTGGCAGATTCCCTTTGTCAACTTCCTGAGCCTGTGCAATGGCTGTCCCAAGCCACGCTCCAGCTGCTGCCCGCACACCAGCCAGCAGGTGCCTCCACAGGTAAACCTAAGCCTCTCATTTTAAAAAAGCCTGTTGGGGGAGGTTCCTGCAAAGCGAGAGGATGGCTCCGAGTTAAGAGAAGTGAGGCTGAATCACACAGGAAGTGGAGGCAGGACCTGACAGTGGACCAGTGCCCAGAGGGAGGGTGTGGGATCACCTTGGGCGCCTCTTCGAGTTGGGTTTGCCACCCTCTGAAGCAATTCCCATATGGATTCATCTCACATTTCTGAGCATCTACTGTGTTCACACCCGACATGAAAGCAGGTTATACCTCTCTTGAATCCCACAAGAGCCTGAGAGGTAGATGTTATCTTTATCTGATAAAAGAGCAAATGGGGCTCAATGGGGTTCAGGGAAGCATTCCAACACTACGCATCTGGCATTCACTTGAACTCAAGCTACAGAGGCTTCTCGTTGCTTATAAAAACTGGGAGGTCTCCTGCCATAAAAATAATGCATGCTGCTTATAGAACATCTGGGAAGCACAGAAAAGAAAAAGTCACCCAGCAACAACCCTGTGGGTATTTACAATCATTTTTATGTGCATTCTTTAGAGTGATTTATTTCGTGGTCATATTGTTAATACAATTTTGCATCCTGGCTTTTGATATCACAAACACTTATCTGCATTACTTATGTCTTTCATTAAGGCCATTTTTGATGATGCTATAAAGATTCCATCAAGTAGATACAGCATAATTCACTTAACCATTCCCCCAAAGTTAGACATTCAAATTGTTCCATATTCTTTACCATATTTGATATTTCAATATAGAAACAATCTACATCTCAGTATTCTACATAATGCTGCAAGGAACATGTTTGTGCCCATGTTTTATCATTTCTCACGATAGATTCCCAAACGTGAGATTTCTAGGGCATGGGTTAAGCCCACTTTCAGGCTCTCTAAGGACCTTTGAAGGCCTGGTCTTGAATTCCAACCCTATCATCAAACTGCTCTGGGGTCCAACACCAATCGCCTCTCTGGGCCACAGGTTCTGCACAAGGGAAGAAATAGACTAACCCAACACCAGGGGCAATAACCAGTTACAGGATTTTAACTCCTGGAAGCCTCACAGACAAAAGCAACCGAAATGTGGACCGCACCACCTGACATGCTCTGTGACCACACCTTCCCCTGAACATTTGGTCTCAGACTCGGTTTCATGCTGATTTAGCATAACGGCCTCTGCAGGAAAGCCCATGATTCGCTCCAGATGGAAAGGATTAGTAATGGGTCTCTCAGAGCAGAGGGAAGGTCAACAGGTGACAGACCAGAAAGGAGGCACTCCCTTCCCCCTTCCCTGCCTCCTAAGGGAAGGGCGGGCTCCATATATGACTGCAGGTGACCCCACAAGCCCCTACACAGCTCATTGGCCCCGGCGCGATCTCTTGACCTAAGGTGAGCCAAGCGGATTCTTTCCCCCAGAAACCTGCGGTTGGACCTGAGACATTGGAGGGTCTGAGCTCCAAGGTCACAGAACGCAGGAGGGGAGTCAGCACTGTAGCCAACCAAAGGCAGGTGGAGCTGAAATGCTGCCGTCAGCCCAGGACACTGGTCTGCAGGGATGAGTAGAATAAGGTAGACATTAAGAAAGGACTGGAAATATCTCTCACTCACGCCCAGTCCCAGCTGTACCTCACTTTGTGTCCTAGGGAGCCAGTGAGTCTGCTGGTTGCGCCCTTACACTAACACCCCACCCTTACTGTCTGTTTCTGGAACCAAGAGTGTCTGAGTGCTCCTCAGCCAGACCACTGGGAGAGGGAACAGAGATGTTCTGAAATGCCTGATGCTCAGGTCGATAAAATGGGGGTGGAGGGGTGGGGCAAAGATGAACAAGGTAGATAGATAGATAGATAGATAGATAGATATGTGAAATATATATATATATATGTATATCAAGCATGTCAAACATTTTACATGCTTGAGATATAGATATACTGAACAATGGAATATTATTCATCTTGCCATTTGTGACAACATGGATGAACCTTGAGGGCATTAGGCTAAGTAAAATAAGCCAAACAGAGAAAGACAAATACTGGGTGGTATCACTTACATATGGAATCTTAAGGGCTCGGGGGTGGGGGAAAAGGGAGAGGTTGGTCAAAGGGTACAAACTTTCAGCTATGAGATGAGTAAGGTCTGAGGCTCTGATGTATAAAAGGGAGAACACTGTATTGCATAACTGAAGTCTGCTAACAGAGGACGTAAATGTTTTCACACACAAAAAGAAGATAAACATGTGAGGTGATGGATGTGCTAATTAACTCGATGGGGGATTCTTTCACAATGTATACATACTAGTATATCAAATCACCACAAAGTATGCTTCAAATAGCTTACAATTTTATTTGCCAACGATACCTCAATAAAGCTACAGTTTTTAAATAAACAAATTTTAAATAAAGTAAATGAAGAGGGTCAAAACAGGGGCCCAGAGTTTGGCAACGTTCCACTCCACACAGGCTCTGACCCTGGGTGGTGGCTGAGGGAAAGGAGCCCAAGCGGGCACATCTGCCCAGAGAGCGAGGGCAGCAGCTGGAAAGGCTGAGAGGCTTAGGAGGAGGGAAAGTGCAGAAGGAGACCAAGAGAAGAGACGTTCAGGATGAATCGTGCAGAGAGAAGAGCTGTGAAAACGCTGCAACAGCCAGTGGGAGAAGGGACGGGAGGCACTGGCGCTGCTGGGGCCCAGGCCAGCCGCCTGCCCGTGAGCAGCAACAGCATGGACCTTGTGCGCCAGCCCATGGACCGCACGTTACAGAGATGTCGCGGGATGCATCTGCCAGGAAGGGTTCTGTGCCTTCAGCAGTTAAGTAAAGAAAAGAAAAGCGCACCCCCTGCGTGTGCCTGGCACCACGTCACAGACAGCCCAGCTCTCGCCCAAGGGTGACAAAGACAGCCACGGGGTCATCGCTGAGGGTCACTGTGAGAGGCCTCCCGGCCAGGAGGACAAAGAAACAGAAAGTGACCAGACTAAAAAATTAGAGTTCCATCTTACAGACAAGCCTTGAAGGCAGAATCGGGTGACACATTCTGGAGACCACTGGGCTCATCAAGAGGCCTGGAAATCATGACAGAGGTGGGAAGAACGGGCCCCTCAGCACGCAGGTAGCCCCAGGTGCCACCTCCCGTCGAGCCCCTACCCCTCAGTCTCACCTGCATCACTACTGCTTCTTCCTCCGCGAGGTGCTGCCCGGCAAGCGTCAGGAGGGACCAGCTGCCCAGCATCTCACACGGTGCAATGGTGTTTCAGGTTTTTAATGACAACAGCTAAGGGCGCTCAAAAACCTCCCAACTCAAAATTCAAAAACCCAATGAGGACCCTTCAAAAATCTAACAAGAGTTTATGATTGTTCTAGGTACTTACAGAAAGCAAAGCTGGGGTCGGGGGTGAGGGGGAGCCATAAATTATCAGAAAGCAAATTCAGGGCTCAAAATTTAAAAAGTGTTTCTAACATGCAGACTTTTCAATAATGGAACTGATTGCCCCGGGAGGCAGTGCACTCCCCATCACTAGAGGCAGGCAAGCAGCGACTAACGGACCCTGTGCTAAGGAGCTGAAAGAGATTTCTTAGATAGGAAGGTCCTGTTTAACCCAAGATCCCGCGGAATGAAATGTACGGTAGAACAATCACAGACACGCTTGGCAAATCATAAGGCGGCAGAATTAGCCACGACCCTTAAAACGTGAAAGAAGTACATGTACAACAAATAAAAGTATGACATTACACACATTAACAAGGTTTAAGGTAACAGGCCCTATTACTCGGAGCTGAAAATGGAAATGTGCCCAAGAAGGACTTAGCTGAATGAATGAAAATTTGACCCACGGCAGGTTACCAAAGGCAGTGAGGGATGGGTATGAATGTCCACCCTGCAACGCCGGGCCCACCCCTAGAGCCCGCACTGGCAGAGGCAGCACAGGGGACGCGGTGAACTTCAGATTCGGTCAGGTGCCTGCCATGGAGAAATGGCCCACACAGCACCTTCCGACAGCAAAGGCCTGACCTTTGAGACCCTGAGCAGTTCCTCCCCGTGAGGAACATGGGGGTCACGGGAAAGTCCCGACCCCACGGACCAAACCCTCTCCCTCCCACAGGGTGAGGGATAAGAGCCCAGAGGGAGCTTTCTGGCCTCGGAGCATCACTCACAGCCTGGACAGAGCCTGGTTATGCTGGAACAGCAGTTCTGGTAACATGTGCAGCTGGTTCCGGTTCAGTCGTCTGCAAAAGAGAAGAGAGGAGGGGTTGGGGATGGCCGGGGGGATCCAGGAAGGCCGCAGGGCTTTTCAGAAAGCACTGGATTCGGAGTCAGAGAACCCAGGGTTCAAATCCTAGCACGGTCGCTGTGCAACCCCAGGGAAATCACCTTCTTTGGGGCTCAGTTTCCTCCTCTATAAAGTGGGGGTTCGGCCATCCTACACTTGGGGAGGATACGAGCAGAATATCTGTGAAAGCCCCCGCCCCGGGGCCTGCCTGGAGAGAGTGGGCGGGCAATAATAAGTAGAGCACCTTTCCTGCCACTATTTCCTCCCGTGCCCATCAGCATCTGCTCTTACAGCTGCAGGAGCCGTTGTGATCTAACAGGCCCTGATCCATCTCTCTCAGTGTGGGAGGTGGGTATCTGACCACACATGACATATGAGGTATATCCCAACGGGGCAGGACTGGTCGCGTGTTTTGTTTTGTTTTTAAGAATTTTTATGAGCTTATTTGAGCCAAACTGATGACATACACTGGGGAGCAAGATAGCAAATGCTCCCTGGACACATATTTCTGGCTCTTTATTGTTCTTACGCACATTTGGCTCAGTGGCAACTCAACTTTTATTGTTTGCTTTTAGGCCTTCTTTCAAAACAAAAATAGCTTTATTGATTTTTTAAATTATTTATGGAAATGCATGCTAAATTTTTTTTTAAGGCTTCAAATAGTAGAAGAAAACATATTCGGCCACTTGCACGTTTCTGACTCAACAATTTTTGGGTGTCTTTTCATGCCAAACAACAGAGAATAACCCCTTTATTTGTAGTGACCGATTGCTTGTGTTCACCATTCCTAGCTCCTCTAGCGGCGGACGGACAACTTCTCAGTGCAATAGAACAGGCGGGAGCGGGCAGTCTGGGTCTGGAATGCAGCCTGACGAGAAGACGCGCAGAAAGAACCTGGACTCGTCCCAGGGAAGCAGCAAAGTTTACCCAGACTTATCTGGCCACCTTAGACAACACACTCTTTTTTTTCCTCATTTTCTAAAGTGCTGCTGACATACACTATTATATTTCAGATGTACAACACAGTGATTAGACATATATGTAACTTACAAAGTGATCACTCCACTAAGTCTAGTACCCACCGCTCATAGTTATTACAATACTCCTGACTATACTCCCTATGCTGTACTTTACATCCCCAGGACTAGCAGGCAACTAATTCTCTGACACTGGGGTGTTGGCCGCCAGCCCATCAGGAGATGTGACACCTGTAAACTATGGAGCCTTGGTACTCACACTGTGGCCCCTGGACCACCTGCAGGGCGTCACCTAAGAGTTGGCAAGAGCCTCACCATCTCAGGCTCTCCCCCAGGCCTGTAGAGTCAGTCTGCATTTCAACAGGATCCCCAGGCGGCCTGCGTGCTCGGCGAGGTTGGAGCAGCACTGGGGTAAAATGCAGCCCCTGCCCTCCGTCTATGGCACAGTCTGAGTTTCACACAACCTCTGCTTTGACAGATCTAGACAATGATCAACCAGCTCAGCAAAAGCTCCCTTTTGCTGGGAGGGTGGAAGGAATGTAATTCTATGTGGCTGGCACTTTACCTCCTAGGAGTCACCCTCTATCTGCTATGTGAGAGAGATACCATTTCCCAGCACAGTACAGGCAGTTAGAACAGCTGGAAGAAGCGTTACCTAAAGGACCGGCTCCTAGGAAAACGCATCGCTGCTTCAGAAAAAAGGGACCACCAAGAGAATCCTTAAGGCAACAGTAGACCTCAGATGGCTCCAAGTTCCTTAACCTCCTCCAATAAATTAATCCTGTGTTTACACTGCCTGATAATCACTGGTTTTTGTTTTGTTTTGTTTTCCCCCCCGAGATGTTCTCAGTTTTCCAGCTTCAATTTCTGAAAAACACTTAAAAGGAAAAGGGATCTAATAACTAGTTGAAGTGGAAAACCAAAGGACATGGAGGGCGGGTCCCAGCGAGGTGCGGGCCTGCAGGGAGCAAAGAATAATACCCTGGCAGCAGTGGCTACCAGTCCATAGCAGCCCTCACCGTGTGCCGGGCACCAGAACAGATGTTTTATAGGCGTCACCTCCCGTCGGAGGAAAGACAGAATAAAACGGAGGGTTTCTTTCTCGATGACAAGGCCTTACGTTCACACACACGTCTTCCGGTCTCCTCCTTGCAACAACCCCACGGGGAAGGCGTCACCACCACCATCGCGCCACATGGCTTGGTCTTAACAAATGCTCGGGACGTGTTTGTTGACTCTGCTGCCTGGCCTCTCTGACATCAGAGGAATTAGGATGTCCAGAGGTGGGTGACCCCCCGATCACCTCCAAACTCCCCAGAGGCGAGGTTCTGAAGCCTGCCTTTCCCTAGCTCCCCATCCTGGCTGCCTCCACATGACAGACACATCGACGACCCCCACTCAGCCAGCTGAGGGTGCCTGAGCGCTGCACCCCCTCCCAACATCAGACCCTGACACCGCGGCACCCCGATCCTCATGGCCGCAGAACCGCACGTGGCTGCTTCTGCACTCAAGTCTGTAACTGCTCACAAGACCAGTTATGTCTGTTCCCAAACCTGTTTAGCCAGAGGTACTTATAATTATAATTGTATAATTGAATGAACTGTTACATAAACAAACCAAATACCAGTGCGAAAAGAGAGAGTCATCTCTATGAAAACTAGGCTGAATGCTTTGAAAGAGTCACTAAAAGGGAAGCTGCTAATTAAAGGGCTGATGAATTACGGAAAAGACTGCAGGGCAAGAGGATCATTCAAGAAATTCAGGATCCTCCACCCAGTTTGCTCCCAAGGACCCTTCAGAAATCTCACTCACCCTAGAGAAACCAAAACCAAAAATCCTAAGTAAGGTGTACATGTGTGGTTTAGGTGAACTCCAATCAGCATCTCATAATAAAAAGAAAGGTCTTGGCAAAAAAAAAAAAAAAAAAAAGGAGGGGGGGTAGGAGGGGAGGTCAATAAGTGCTCATTTATATGTTATAACTTAAAATGAGATGTTTACAGTATGTGTCGTGTTTATGACTCCCCACTTTATCCAACTTTTATGATTAACTGATTCACCACGGGTCCCCGACAAGTCCGAGAGGGTGCCGGCCGTCCACAGCAAGCACTGGACCCCCAGGGACAGAGCAGCCACAAAGAAAGGAACTTGGAAAAGGACAGAAGGGACAAAGTCTGCAGTGATGTCGTGACTTGAAAAGTAGGGCCCTGCCTTGGATGGCAGAAGCAGGCGTGATGAGGGCCACGAGGCCATGTCCGAACCCCAACCCACCCTCTCTCCTCCTCTGGGGCCTGGCAGTACCCGAGCTGAAGCTGGAATGGGTTGGGTCCGAATCAGCCCCTCATAACCAGGTCACGAGTGGAATATGTTTTGTTCTGAGCCCTTTACACATCTGTTCAGCTGGGGGCTCCTTGTCACCCAGGCTAGGGCTGGCGAGGAAGGCCAAGGAAAGGTCACCTTGACCTGCAGGAAGGCACTGAGACAACCCTACCCTTTCCCTTTCATTTAATACCTTATTTTCTTTTATATAAAAGAGAAAAGGGAGGTATTAGGACATAGCCATTAAGAGCTCAGGCTTTGGAGGCTACATGGTCCCAGTTCTAATCCCCTCTCCTGCATGTAATCACTTAATAATCACTTCATGAGGCAAGTGCTTAACTTCTGTGCACCTCTATTTCTCATCTGAAAGATCCCACTGACCCAGTGTTGTTTCAAGGATTTAAGGAGATATTGGGGGCGAGGGGCAAAGAGCTTATCTTGGTGCCTGGCAGAGAGTAAGGCAATCAATAGTAGCTATTATTATAAACTCATTGGGAAATCCATAAAAATATAAAAGCACGAAGAATAAAATTAAAGTTACCTGTTAACTCACCACTCAATGCAGTGAGAGTTAATATTGTCAATTCTTTTCCTCCTCCTGCATTCTGTACACATACAAGTTAATTTTTATTTACACAAATGTCACTTCCTGCCTTTTCCACTTAACATTATATTGTGTGTACATTCCCATGGCTGTGATTGTTCTCCCAAAGTGTGATTTTACGGCTGTGTTTCCACCAGAATGGCTGTTGCCAATTTTTTATTGTATTTCAATAATGTACAATGAACATCCTGATATATACATGTTTTTAGCCATGTCTCTGATTATTTCTGGCTCAAAAGTCATGAACAATAGAATTCTTGACACCTACATACAAACCACTTTGCCAAAACATGAGATTGGGCCTGGCAGGGTAATCCAGTTGGTTAGAGCATCATCCAGATGCACCAAGGTTGTGGGTTCAATCCCTGGTCAGGGCACATACAAGTGTCAACCACTGAATGCATAAATGTGTACAACAACAAATCAATGTCTCTCTCTCTCTCGCTCTCTCTCTCTCTCTCTCTCTCTTTCTCTTTCAAATCAATAAATAAAATTTAAAAGAAAAATTAGGTTGGTGACCACCCTGAATGTGAGTGCCAATCCCCCCCCACCTCACCCATACCACGTGCCTTTTTTTCCTCATTATTGCCCATCTGAAATGCAAAAATTGATCAAGACACATTTGCAAACTTGAAAGCCCTATAAGGAACAAACCATGCAAGTCCGAAATGTCTCCACCTTCCAGTGTCTGCGCTGTGGCCCCGAGCACCCAAAACATGGCTCCTCAGGTGCCCCAGGGCTTCCCTGATGGTCCCCTCCACACACCAACGCTTCCCTGAGGCCACACACATCGGTGAACAGTGTTTACACCTGGGTATGAGATTATAGGAAGAACTCTCACTTCCTCGGTAATGTGTGGATTTTTTTGCCATAATGCATTTTCGGGGGCGGGGGAAGGAACGGCTGCATCTAGAATGTGGGATGAGGACAGTCTCCAGCTTTCTCTCTACTGTGACCTCATGATGATGCCGTGACCATGTCCATGCTGCAGCTGCCCCTGGCTCCTATGAGCAGGAGGGAGGCAGGCTGGGCATGTCGTCCTGCCCCTGAGCACACCCCCTTGGCCACCAGGCTCAGTCGGCTCCTGTCCCTTCAGAGCCAGCCTCCACCGCCCTCCTGAGCCCACACCCACAGACACTTACAGCCGCTCCAGCTCCTTCATGTCGTCCAGAGCCCCCCGTTCCACCACTCCAATCTGGTTCTCCATCAGCTGCCTGAGGAAGCGAAGAGACAAAGACAGCTACAGCATGTTGCACAAGGACTCCTGGAAACAGCTGGCACCAGGGAGTGAGACAGGAGCTGTGCCTGAGACGCGTGCAGACCTGAGTCCGGCCTGAGCCCACAAAATTTCCTCACAACGTTGCCAATTCCCAGCAGGGACTCCTCGGCACACCCAGCCTCAACCGCAAGATGCGCTTCCAGCCCCAGCCCCATGCTGATCCCTGCATGGCAGAAGGCCACAGGACACCAGGGCACCAGGTCATTGCTCCAAGGCATGCTCGGGAAGCTGGGCCCAGGCAGCAGGCAGCAGGGGCTGCTCTGGGCTGCAGGTGCACGTGCCCTCCTTTGGCCCAGAGGGTGAGTTTCCAAGGGGCAGAATGGACAGAATGGGCCAATAGCAAGGGGAGGGGATCGGTGCCAACTGGGCAAAGCCCACACATGCAGCACATTCTGCAGTTGGCAGACGACACCCCCTCCGCCTGCACCCCGACTCTGCCTGGCCCATCTGCTGCCAGCTGAGCCACCTGGCTCCATGGGGCTCTGCACCTCCTCATTGCCAAGGCGCCATGCAGCCCAGAGCGTCCAGCTGGCGGACAGCAGTTTTTGCCAACAGATCGCCTGTTGCATGGTAATTTTTGAGGTTGTAAAACGTGTTTTTCTCCCTACACGTTCCCTTCTCCACTCTCCAGCGGGTGGCTTATGTGCTCCCACATGCACCGCAGATGAGGTTTGAGACAGGGCAGAGGGCAGAAACGGCCACCACCCACTTCTTTTTCTCCACTTGTTTCCAGAACCTATGCTACTGAGGAGCTCCCAGTGTAGACCTGGGTGGGGAAGAGGGGGACAAACCAGGAGGAAGGGGAGCTTCCTCAGGCTCAAAGATTTCTGGATCCTGGGATGGGGTCAGAGATCAGTGGGCGATAGCTATGACCCCAGAGAAGATCAGCCACAAGATCCCCAGTTCCTCCAAAGACCCTCAGAAATGAATGCAAAGCAAGTAGTTCTGACAGAACTGAGGCCCCAGGGCCCTTGCACTTCCCCGGGAATAAGGGACGAGGGGTTCTATGACTGTCTGATGTTCAATGCATCAGGATGCATGCCTGGCAGGCTGCCTCTGCATCAAGATCAGCAGAGAAGGAGAGATGAAGGGATCAACACCCTCCCGGCCCCTCACCCCTGCCCAGCATGACAGAGGAGGTGCTGCTGATGGCTCCTTTCCCAATAGCGTCGTGCCCACTGCCTCCAATACCTGCCGCTGTCAAGCAACCCAGGGAAATCGACTCTACCCTCAAGTGCTCCCAATCACCTGCCCGCTCAAGCCAGGGGCAGCCCCTTGCTGGGGAGTTTTCTGGGCCACAGGTTCAAGGGAACTATGGAGACTGTTACAGACTGAATTGTCCCCGCTCTTCCCCCCTCTTCCCAGATATTAATGCATTGAAGCCCTAACCCCAATGTAACTGTATTAGAGACAGGGTCCTTAGGGAGGTCACTGAGGTTAAATGAGGTTATAAGGATGGGGCCCTCATCTGCTAGGACAGGTGTCCTTATAGGAAGAGACACCAGAGGTCTCTCTGTGCACACACAGAGGACAGGCCACCTGAGGACACAGCGAGCGGCTGGCCGGGAAGAGAGGGCCCACCACAAACGAGCCCTGATGGCACCTTGATCTTAGATTCCTTGCCTCCAGACCTGTGAGAAAATAAATTTATGTTGTTTATGCCACCCCATCTGTAGTATTTTGTTAGAGCAGCCTGAACAAAGACAGAAACCTAAAGATTCCGCATGGTCCCTCGGTCTTTCCTCACCCCAGGAGACAACCGGTGGACAAGACAGCCCCATTGCCCAGCCCAGGTCCTGCCAGGCAGCCACCACCGGTGCCTATGCCATCGCCCAATTTTTCAGCCATGCTGGAGGCAGTGGCTGCTCTGGGTCAGGACTCTACCCCACCACCCTCAGGGTGTCCCAAGATGGACTCCACGTGGAGGAGCCCAGCCTGCCTACAACCCTACAACCCCACAACCCACAGCCAGGGCTCTGCCTAGGACACACAGGCCATTGCCGAGGAAGGGGGCAGGGGGAGGTTACAAGCAGGAGCAGATCCCATACTCACAGCACCCGCAGCTGCTTGAGCCCTGCAAAGTCGTTCTTATGGATCCGGGTGATGTTGTTGCCATTGAGTTCCCTGGTGGAGGAGAGGAGAGAAGGAAATGGTGAGCTGTGCAGGGTGGGTCCCCAGGCCGGGGCTCAGCTCCAGGCTCCTTCGCTCCCTGGCTCAAGCCTGACATCTGACCCGTAGGGTGGGTGCTCCCCAGCCAAGCCTGGGGCCCTCGAGTCTATGTGGAGGCCCAACAAGCTGGGGGCTGTTGGCAGCAGATGTCCAACCAGCAGGAATGCACAAGGCTCCCTGCTGGGAGTTCTGCTAAACCCAACACGGAGCTTTGCCCCTGAATGAACTCAGTCTAGTTGAAGAGATGAGACATTAACACACGAAAGAACTGGAAAAGTAGCCAATTAGAAGCTATTTAGGTGGAATCCTTGCTGAACGCCAGCTTCCTCGTCTATGAAATGGGGATAATAACTGTCTCTCATAGGGTTTACATGAGGCATAAGTAGGGAAAGAGTACGGCCTGTGGTTTAAAAGGACCCCCTTGGGGACTCGGTTTTTGTCATCTGGTGGCACTGGTTCCTGTGAGCTGTCCGTATTCTGAACAGGAGAGAGTAGAGTGGGCCATGCCATTCAATGGAAACTGAGGAAGTGGGACTCAAGCTGAGACGGACAGGACAAGGCAGATCTGCAGGGCAGGAGGGTCAGAGCGGACATTCAAAGAGGGAGAATACCCAGCAGATCTATGGGGTGGGGGTGGGGGGACAGGCCGAGGGAAGCAGAGTTGGGGGAACGTGGGTCCAGACCACAGAGGGTCTGAGAAAGCAGAGGAGAGACAGGGAGCCAGTGAGGTCTCTGAGCAGGAGCCTGCCCTGAGGTCAGCCCTGTAGCAAGAGGAGGGTGGGAGGCAGCGGGAGGACTGGAGGGCAGGGCTGAAGAAGGGAGGGAGCCCACTCTCTGATCCTAGGGCCGGGCCTGCAAAAGTGGTGGCTCCTTCCCTCACACCACCCCGGCCTCTGGCCCCTGTGTTCCTCCTTGGCCCTCCCCAGTCACATCCTGGGCACCTTGGACCCAGAGCCCACCTTAGAGGCTGTCTGGTCCCACCTCCCCAGCCAGCCTCCGAGGGAAGCCCCCCAGCACACCTCAGAACGACAGGCCCTGCAGGAGTCGGGCGCTCCGCTCCCCAGAAAGTTCTTCCGCTGAGCCACACACCAGCAGAATCTCCCTCGGGCCTCGTGTCAAACCTAGCTGTCACCTCCGCATCTAATCAGTCGCACCAAACCTAGCTGTCACCTCCGCATCTAACCAGTCTGTAGAGCTCCAAGTTCACAGCCACCGAGTTCCCTCCTTTCTCACCCCTGTCACAGTCACCACGTGCTTGGCAACAACCTGTCACCACCCCATGTTCCCCTGCAGCTCAGTCTCGTCACTTACCAACTGTGGCCAACCCGAGCCCGAGCTGCCGTGAAGAACAGCAAGTTCTCTTTGCTGAAAGTGTTCGGAAGTGTGTTTGGACTAGATGATGTTCTAGAATCGTACCCACTAAGAGCATGTGATTAGTTTCCACACACTCCTCACGCCAGGCTGGAAAGAGTTACCGTGTCCATCTTGCAGAGGAGGGAAGAGTGGCTCAAAGAAACGAGGTGCCTTCCCCAAGTCACCAGCTGGTAAATGACAGAGCAGGGGCCTGAGCTGGGCCATCTGATCCCAGAGCCCAGGCTTCTACCAGGCCAGGCTGCCTCCTGAGCTGACAAGCCAATAATTCATTCAGCTCATTACTCTCTCTGCCCTTCCCCTGCGCCTGGCTCTTGATCTTGGGGAGCAGCTGGAAAAACTCATTCCCTGCTCCCCGTCTCCTTTCTAACAGGGTCTCTCAGAGGGGCTGGAGGCCTCTCCAAGGTAACGAGGCCGTTGGTGGGAGCCCCAGCCGGAGCTACTTCCCGCCCTAAATGCCGAGAGCATGCCTCTCCCTGTGAGACGGGCTCTTTTCAATGTAAAGGTCTTTCTTTATTGAACTAGATATTCTTCCCTGAAACAGCCAGCCCTGAGCCTCACTTGTGCTGCACCCCAATCTCTCCTTCCGCAACACGCCTGGGCCATCTTACTGAAACTCTCATCCCCAAAACCACAAGGAATTTTTGGTTGTTTGAATTTTTTGATTATAAAGATATGTCAGCATTGATTCTAAGAGCAAAACGTTGAGCTTAAATGGACATCAACAGAGCGATGCTTAGCTGGCTTTCAGCACAGCCATGAAACCAAACTCTATGCAGCCATTTCAAACGGTGCCGATCAGTTCGCATTGACGGGGAAAGCTGTCCAGGACACAGTACGTGGAAAAGGGTTATAAGATGCTTGTGTCCTATGAGCCTCCTTATGTAAAAACTCACACGCACAGCGACACACGCAGACGGAGCTCACAGGGGGCTGTGTGCCCCATATCAATGCCAGTAACTGCTGCGCAGTGGGACTACGGTGACTTTCTTTTTTATATTTTCCTGCATTGTTTGAACTTTTAAAAAAACATGTATGTTTGTATAAGCTGACATTACTATTCAAGCTATTGCATTTAAAAATGAGAGTAATGCCCTAGCTGGTTTGGCTCAGTGGATAGAGCATCGGCCTGGGGACTGAAGGGTCCCGGGTTCGATTCCGGTCAAGGGCACATGCTTGGGTTATGGGCTCGATCCCCGGTAGGGGGCGTGCAGGAAGCAGCCAATCAATGATTCTCTCTCATCATTGATGTTTCTCTCTCTCCCCCTCTCCCTTCCTCTCTGAAATCAATAAAGATATATTTAAAAATAAATAAATACATAAATAATAAAAATGAGAGTAACAATAAAGATATATTTAAAAATAAATAAATACATAAATAATAAAAATGAGAGTAATATATGCACATTATTGTGTGTTTTTTTCAATTTCTTGAAGAATAAAGGAAAAAATTATAATCACACATAAACTCATCACCCAAAAGTAACCCCCATTAACATTGTGGAATATTTTCTCCCATGCCTGTTTTCTTTGGATACAAGTTTTATATCGTTGAGATAATTCAACAAATATTTACTGAAGGCTTACTATTTGCAAAGCGTTCTGCAAGGTTCTGAAGCCATGAGGATGCATGAGACATGAATGATATCAAAGCCTACAAGGTCACAGCCTGTCTGTCCCCCTCTTACGGTTTTGACTGGCCGTGAAGTGTCCCCTCATGTGGACAGATCAAGTTCCTGGGGTGTCCCACGATTCCCTGTTACTAGAACACCAGGGCTATTTTGATGTTGTTCAATCTTAAATATTACTGCACAAAATTTGGTGGGCATTTGGGAGAAATACGTCCCTCCACGGAATTACTCAGTCAAAAGTCATGAAAAAGCTGGTGAGTTTTACAATCATTCAGTCCTTTCCATGGCAGCCATGGTTTATAAAGCACTTGACTACAATAATTATTCATTTTACAGACGGCAAAACTGAGGCAGAGACAAACGCTTAGACTTGTCTGAACAAGGCAGGACCGAATGTGGAACTCGGGAAACTGAGGATGAGACAGACTCCCACCGGGTGGGCGGGGTGGGCTGGAGGGCTCTCGCTCATATGCCTCTCCTCGGACCCTTCTGCACCAGGGTCCACTGTGCAGATGGCAGGAGAAATTCCTTAGCCCACCATCAGCTGGTTCCAGCCCCTCCTCACTTCCTACACCTCACTCCACCCCTAGGTAAGGGAAGGCCTGGGCCAGGCAGGCAGAAGAGGACAAGGTGCAGACAGCAGAGCAAACTCAGCCTCCCCCCATCAGCCTTGCTCTCGAACCCCGGGGCTCAGTGCCTCCTCTCAGGGAAAAGCCCTTGAGAAGGCAACCTTCGAGGCTCATCAGACTCCCAGGTCTGGAGGCTGCTGCTTAGGGAGGCATTATCACCACGTAGGCTGAGAAAATGACCTCCAGCGGCTGGCCGGCCCCCTCCCCCTCAGCAGGGCGGCCCCCCAGGATCAAGTTTCCAACCTGGGCCAACCACTTCCCCTCCACCCTCAGCAGAGGCTGCAGAATGAGGGAAGGAGGTCATTTTTCTCCAACACCTGATTCCTCCAACAGGTGCTGCTTGAGTGTTGCCATGGAGATGCCCCTCCGCAGGAAGCTGCCTAGAAAAAATGGGAGAAGCTGCTGTGACCTTAAGACCAGAGCAACCACGTCAGGTGGGCCCTCTGGGGCACTTCCCGGCCTCGTGTCTCAGGAAGCACCCTGGGTCCTTACTGAGCCCCTGTGTGTGCAGGCTCTGAGCCCAATGCCAAGCACGCACACTCCCTGGGAGGTGAGTCACGGTCTCTCCATCCTGCTGATGAGGAAACTAAGGCTCAGACTGATGAGGTGATTTTCCCAGTGCCACACAGCTAGTACGTGGTGGGGCCGGATCAAAACCAGGCCGGTGTGATTCCCTGTTCGTTCCCTACCTCACGATGCCTCATGTTGATGGGCTCTGTCCGCCCACCTCTCCCCCGAGTGCTCATGCCTTGATGGAGCTGAGAAGCCACGTGTGTGCTGTGGACAGGGAACACTGGGCCCTGTAGTGAGACTGTCTGCTCTGCCTGGCGGTGATGCTCAGTTGGTTGGAGCATCATTCTGTGCACCAGAAGGTCTAGGGTTCAGTTTCCGGCGGGGGCATGTGCGAGAGGTCCTCATGTTGTGACCCCACCCATAAAATTATTTTCGTTGCTACTTCATAACTGTAATGTTGCTACTGTTATGAATCGTAATGTAAATATCTGATATGAAGGATGGCCTTAGGCGACCCCTGTAAAAGGGTCGTTCGACCGCCAAAGGGGTCGCGACCCACAGGTTGAGAACCACTGGTCTAGGGTTCAATTTCCGGCTGGGGCATGTGCAAGAGGCCACCGATCCATGTGTCTCTCTCACGTTGATGTCTCTCTCTCTCTCTCTCTCTCTCTCTCTCTCAAATCAAAACAAATCAAAATTTTTAAATAGTATACTCATATGTAAAACACTTTCAAAAAGGGCGGGGCAGCTATCTACTCTGCCTAAGCAGCAAGATCAGGGGAGCTTCCCAGCTGCTGAGCAAAGTGCATTC